AGCTGGATGAAACAGAATTCCATGTAACTTAGCAACTTTATTAGAACCTGGAAATAGCTTCTCAGGCATCTCAACTATTGTGTCTTTGTATAGTCATGATCTGATTCGCCCTGTCTAGCCCTTCGTTTAGTTCAAACTTTTCCCTACAAATGCTACGGGCTTAGAAGCATGGCTGCGCATTTCTATTCATCCTGCCTACAACTTTGGTAGAATCAATTCTGCATCATTTTGATGTGCAGACGACAGAAAATCAAATACGTACCTTTTACTTGCGCTCGAAAGGGGTCCGGCGCTTTCTGGCGCTGGGCTTTTTTCGGCTTTTTTGGGCCTTTTTCGGTTTTTTTCCCTTTTTCGGCTTTTTTGGGCTTTTCGGCTTTTTTAGGCGCTTTTGGGCTTTTTCCGGCGAGGAATAACGGGTCTCTTAGTTGACAGTCAGCTTCGTGTATGACTTTTCCGTTGTTGCAGGAGTATCTGAAAACCTTTGAGATAAGTTAGCATTGATTTACTCTGTAGCAAAGCTTTTCGTTTGGAAAAAGCCAATTTTTACTTTTGAAAAATCTAGAATTTTCCTGAGGATGTGTGGCGCCGTAATATGTTGGATTTTTTTTTGGTGACATAGTGAATTGATGCTGTAAAACTTTTCCTTAGAAACTTACGCGAAAGGTTTTGGTGATACGAATAATAGTGTTTTTTGTACGATGTATAGGTCTAATAGCCACTGCTGCTTTCTCAAACCTCTAAAACATTCAAAAAATGGCCACATCTCTTGGTTGCCTATTGCGATTTTCGATCTGGGATGACGAGAGCGCTTGGTTAAGGCGTTATCCACAATAAGTGGGTAGACCACAAGTTCTGGGTACGTTGTTTCGTGAGTACCGGTATTGAGTAAGTTAACCTACGAAGCTCCTTCGTGAATAGTATGGCGACATATTGTGTAAAGTTCTACCCAGCGCTTACCCAGCTGATTCGTGAATACCAGTATTGTGGGTTAAGCCCAAACACTCGGAATGTTTAATACGGCCACTGAAAAAACGTCAAAAACCTCAAGCTCACGAAGGTCAGGACCGCAGGGGATGGCTGCAGCGCATGTTGCAAGTTCCGGCATAGTATCGGCACAGTTCTCAACTGTTTCAAACTAATTTTTAAATATCGGATTAGCATGAATCCAGCTTAAATATGAAGTTCTCACCTTACCGTTCCCTCATGAGTTACATCAAGTGTATAACAAGTATAACATCTCTTGTTCCTCTATATGCTAGGCAGTTTGAAAAGCCTCGAAAACATTCAAGTATTAGCATGAGTGGAAATAGTAAACAGTTTCCAGGTCTTGATTTTCTTCGAAAATTTTTGTTTCAAAAGCACTCTATGATAGAAGTTTCTACCTTGATCCTATAGCAATGGGGAGCAATGGGTGATTCGCTCTGTACCACAAACCTGATTTGGAAATAGCTCTAAATATGATTTTTGGAGGCAGTGTTTCACCAAAATTTAATTGGCGGAATTTTTGCATATCGCAGGCCTTTAGAACTGCCTATCGGTTCAATTTGCTTAAAATGCTCGAAATCTGAGAAAGCAACGTGGACGAGTCGTGCCAACTCACCTTAGCCTCCGCAACTGTGGCAGCAACGTCACTGAGTTCGCCTAAGTGGAAGGACTTGTTGGAACGCGTAAGAGCTGTGCGGGGTAAATGCTAGATGCGGAGCGCTGAGCGCATTCTTCTCACGTCAGTCCCGCTCAAATCTGTTGCAATGGCTAATTTAATGGGCTCAATATTTAGATGCCCGCCCAACCTCAGTTTAGACTCTGCCCTTGAGTGGCTGCGAAAGCTCCTTTACATAATGAGAGTGAAATTGTCAAACGTTCGATACATATTTTGGGACCTGTGTAAGGATGAGGGAGCTTGTCCGTTGCAGCAGTGTATAAAGGAGAAAAAATAATAGGAGGGTATAAGCTAAAAGATACGCATTACATTTTTGAACAGAACTACTTTATTGAGTGTGTCAGCGCTAATAGGTAGTAAACATCGTTCTTGCTTGCTAGGAAGTGAAACTCCACTCATTTGGATTTTTGCAGTCTTTACTGTTCTTTCTGGTTGACGTTATCTTGCGAATCCCAAAAACAGGATTGCTTACATCTCTAATGTGCAAAATACGGCCAGGATTTTACTTAACCATAGTGCATGTTTTGTCATACTACCTTCTGTATATCAGCCTCTACTCGTCCATTGTGATATCCATCATAAGAGTAGCGACAGTCATTATTCCGGTCGATGCAGCCAAGGTAAAACTTCTGAATGGATGAAAGTTGATCGCACTTAATGTAATTCAGATTCAATTGCGTCTTGCCTTATTTCTCCTTCCTGCAATGTATTTGTTACCTT